CCCCCCCAACAAGCTCTTTACCGTAATCCAACACAATATCAGCTCCCCCGTCTACGGCCCCACGTGGCGCCTTCTCCGCCGCAACCTCACCTCCGAGATCCTCCACCCTTCCCGCGTCAAATCCTACGGCGAGGCCCGTAAATGGGTTCTGGATATTCTCATCAACCGTCTCGGATCCGAGTCTCAATCGCAGTCCAAAGGCATCAGAGTGGTCGACCATTTTCAGTACGCCATGTTTTGCTTGCTGGTTTTGATGTGCTTTGGGGACAAGTTGAACGAAGATCAGATCAAAGAAATCGAGGGCGTTCAGCGCCGCTTGCTATTGAGCTTTGGGCGATTCAACATCCTCAACTTTTGGCCCAAATTGACAAAAATTCTGTTGAAAAATCGCTGGAACGCGCTATTTCAGCTCCGTAAGGAACAAGAAGACGTGCTCATTCCTCTGATTCGAGCACGACAGAAAGCAAAGAATGAAAGGCTGAGTAGGAAGGACGACGACAAAGATGATGACTTTGTGTTGGCGTACGTTGATACGTTGTGGGATCTCCAGATTTCTGATGAAAAGGAAAAGAGGAAGCTCTCTGAAGGTGAAATAGTGAGTCTCTGTTCGGAGTTTCTCAACGCGGGTACTGATACTACTTCGACTGCCTTGCAGTGGATCATGGCCAACATAGTTAAGTACCCACAAGTCCAAGACAAGCTCTTTGCAGAGATTAAAGGGGTGGTGGCAGAAACAGAGGAAGAGGTGAAAGAGGAGGTCTTGCACAAGTTGCCGTATCTGAAAGCTGTAATCTTGGAGGGTTTGAGGCGTCACCCGCCTGGGCACTTTGTGCTGCCACACGCCGTGACCCAGGACGTGGTTTTGGATGGTCATGTGGTGCCCAAGAACGGTAGTGTCAATTTCATGGTGGCTGATATGGGGTTGGACCCAGAGGTGTGGGAGGACCCCATGGCATTCAAGCCTGAGAGGTTCTTGAGTGGTGGTGAATGTGGAGGAGCGGAAGGGTTCGATTTAACAGGGAGCAGAGAGATTAAGATGATGCCGTTTGGGGTGGGGAGGAGAATTTGTCCTGGCTCTGGTTTGGCAGTGCTTCATCTGGAGTATTTCGTGGCCAATTTGGTCTGGAAATTTGAGTGGAGAGCTGTGGAGGGAGATGATGTTGACCTGTCGGAGAAGCAAGAGTTCACTGTGGTCATGAAGAATCCATTGCAGGCCCATTTATCCCCAAGAGTGAAATAAGTGAGAGAAGGGTTGTTTTGGTTGATTGTGTGTAATTAAGGACCTGTTATAGACTCTTGAAAGTGTTTACCACATAAAAAAAAATCTATGGGTTATTACTTATGCGACTCAGAAATCACAATTTGATCCATTTCTCATTGTGTGAAATGAGTAAGGTGCCTTAAGAAAACAAGGTAAGAACGGGGTGAGAGGAAGGAAAGACGGAAAGCTTTAATTTGAAAAAGATGCTACTTTCCAGTAGAGAACAATTGGTCTAATAGATTTTGCGTTTTGGTGTGTGCAGTGTGCGTGTAAATGCCTTGCATTGCATTGCATGATGTATTTTTCTGCACAAGTAGCCACTCTGTTCAGGGAAGTCTGTCAAACTTCCACATAAATAATTTTAGAATGCGATTATTCAAAAGATATGGGAAGTTTCAACTATCATTCAAAAGACATGGGAAGTTTCAACTATATATGCGTGGTAGCTTCAAATACTACCAAGACATGAACATCCAGACAACTTCGGTGTTCGTCGGCAACCACGTCCCTAAAAAACAAAGAAAGCAAAAGACTTGTGTAGTGGTTTGGAGAATTTTATTTAAGGGACATTTTTTAGGGTATTATACGAATTTTTTTCTAACCATCTAAATTTTTTATTTTTTATGTCTACATTCATAGATTATTGTTGCAAAAAATTAGATAAATCGGAAACCATTTCAATATCCAATTGTATCCTACAAAATCAATAAAGGGGTGCTTTAAGAATGTACTAAAATTTTAATAACACAATAAAGGGGTCAAACGATATTGGATTAAGTGATTTTTTGTAGAGATGATATTTGAATGATTATTTAAAACATAGACGGTTTGCATTAATGAAATAAAATGTGAAGTGGGCCTTACATGATTGTCCTTTAAATAAATTAATTTGAAGAATCCCTAAATAAAAGCTCTCCGTGTGTATATATATGTACACACACATGGGTTATTACTTACATGACTGACTCAGAAATCACAATTTAATCTGTTTCTCATTGTGCGAAATGAGTAACGTGCCGCTTAAATAAAGAAGGTAAGAATGAAATTGCAAACACAGCTTGGAGATTTTGAAATAGCTTCGCGTTGGTTACGAGACAGGAAGGAAGGACAGAACGTTAATTTGAAATAGATGCTACTTTCCAGTGGAGAACTGTTCGGTCTAATAGATTTTGTATTTTGGTATAAATGCATTGCATTATGCGTTCCTACAAAAAGAAACAAACAAAATCATTCTAAAAATCATCGAGTCCCTTTTATTTATTTATTTAAATTATTGGGTCCCTTTAACTTCCTGTCTTTGTGTCATTGCTCTCATTGCTCATTGTTCACCATGGAAACCTGGTTCCTTATCGTCATCACCCTGTGCATCTCTTTTCTCCTCAAACCCATCCTCAGTCTCTTCATACCCACCGTTTCCAAACCCAAACTCCCTCCTGGGCCCCTCACCATCCCCGTTATCGGCAACTTCTTATGGCTCCGCAAGTCATTCTCCGAACTCGAGCCCGTCCTCCGAAACCTCAAGGCCCGATACGGACCTATGGTCACTCTCCACATCGGCTCCCGCCCTGCCCTCTTCATCGCCGACCGCTCCCTGGCCCACCAGGCCCTCGTCCAAAACGGCGCCGTCTTCGCCGACCGCCCTCCGGCTTTAGCCACCGACAAAGTTCACAACAGCAATCAGCACAACATCAACTCCGCCGTCTACGGTCCCACGTGGCGTCTCCTCCGCCGCAACCTCACCTCCGAAATCCTCCACCCTTCCCGGGTCAAGTCCTACGGTGGGGCCCGCAAATGGGTTCTCGACATCCTCTTCAACCAGCTCGAAACAGAGTCTCAATCCCAACCCAGAGGCGTCAAAGTGGTCGACCATTTGCAATACTCCATGTTTTGCTTGCTGGTTTTGATGTGCTTTGGGGACAGATTGGATGAAAACCAAATCAAAGAAATAGAGGGTGTTCAGCGTCGCTCTCTCTTGAGTTTTGGGCGATATAATTTCCTCAATTTTTGGCCCAAATTGACCAAGATTCTGTTTAGAAAGCACTGGGACGAGTTCTTGCAGCTCCGTAAGGAACAAGAAGACGTGCTCATCCCTCTGATTCGAGCACGACAAAACAAGGCAAAGGATGAAAGCGGTAGAGGGGAGGGGTTTGTGTTGGCGTATGTTGATACGTTGTTGGATCTTCAGCTCCCTGACGAGAAGGAAAAGAGGAAGCTTTCTGAAGACGAAATAGTGAGTCTCTGTTCGGAGTTTCTCAACGCGGGTACTGATACTACTTCGACTGCCTTGCAGTGGATCATGGCCAACGTAGTCAAGTACCCACAAATCCAAGACAAGCTCTTTGAAGAGATTAAAGGAGTTGTGGAGGAAACAGAGGAAGAGGTGAAAGAGGAGGTCCTGCACAAGTTGCCATATCTGAAAGCTGTGATCTTGGAGGGTCTGAGGCGCCACCCACCGGGGCACTTTGTGCTGCCACACGCTGTGACACAGGACGTGGTTTTGAATGGTCATGTGGTGCCCAAAAATGGAACAATTAATTTCATGGTGGCTGAGATGGGGTGGGACCCAGAAGTGTGGGAGGATCCCATGGCGTTCAAGCCTGAAAGGTTCTTGGGTGGTGGTGATTGTGGAGGAGAAGAAGGGTTCGACTTAACAGGGAGCAGAGAGATTAAGATGATGCCGTTTGGGGCAGGGAGGAGAATTTGTCCTGGCTCTGGTTTAGCAGTGCTTCATCTCGAGTATTTTGTGGCTAATTTGGTTTGGAAATTTGAGTGGAGAGCTGTGGAGGGAGACGATGTTGACTTGTCAGAAAAGCAGGAGTTCACTGTAGTCATGAAGAATCCATTGCAGGCTCGCTTATCCCCCAGACTGAAATAAGTGGATAGGGTCTTTGTTATATTATTGTTTACTGCTCTGTGAATATTTTCTCTCCTTTATAGTTTACTGCTCAAGGAAAAAGCAGCTGTTCGTAGAGTTCTGGGCCTAATAAAAGCAGAGTCCACATAGACATTGGGTCTAAAAAAAGAAAACCCAAACAAGTTTTAAGGATTCGTAGACCCACATTGGGCTTTGGGTTTTGGAGTACCCAAGTTAAGGTTCTTGTTTTTAGCAATAGCTTTAGTGTAAACTAGAGGAAAATATGAAGTTTCTCTCACACACACTATCAAAGTGTTATGAAAGTTAAAATGAAAGATTACTGATTAAGTCATTTTCCAATGAGTTACACACCGTTATCAAGTTAAGGACGATTATTTAGTGAATCCGGGTACTTAAGGACAACTTTATCTTCCGCTCTCATACTCACCCAACAAAAAAAAAAAAAAGAGAAACCCCAAACCCACCACAACCAGAAAGGCATCGTTTTTGTTTTCATCGGTGTAAAAGTTGAAACCTAGACAGACAGACACAGAGATAAAATTAATTACTGAAAATTTTACGAACCTAATTTTTTATGTATTATTTGCACATAAAACGTCTTCATAATTTATTACGAGAGAAATGTAATGACTTTCATATTTTTCTAGTGGTCTAAAATCCATTTTCTTTTATTTTTATTTTTATCAAAAATAAAAAATTAAACAAAAAGGACCTGCCTCGGGGCCTCCTCATGTATCCACCCACCAATAGACAAAAATAAAATAAAATAAAATAAAATATTGGATAAGAAAATTAAAGAGAGACTCTGTTCCTCTTCAATAAACAAGAAAACCCTCCGAATCCAATTCTCTGCAATTAAACCTTTTTCCTCTGCAATTCAAGCTCATACGAACCCTAATTTTCAGTTCTTCCACTGAGAGCTTCTCTATGCGTTTCAATTTGGTGTAATCAACTCAATCTGAACCAACAGCAGTGAGTTTTCATGGCTACTGTGACTGCAACATGGTCTCCGAGCTCGCTCCAGCTTCGTTTGGCTCTAAATTACGGCAATTGCACTAAAACCTCCCCCATTCTTGTACGGATGCGACTGGGGAAGCTGGATCATCGGGCTCGAGTGCTCTGTGTTGCTCAAGACAGAGAGAGGCCTGGGAATGGATTGGAACCCCGGCGTGATGGTAGTTCGTGGGTTGGGTCAAACTCGACCGCTGATGGGTTTAAGGGGTGGTCCGATTCCGATAATGGAGGGGATGCATTGGATTCACAGAGGAGGAAATGGTTTGGAGGTAATGCTTGTTTGAATAGATTGCCGTTTTCTTTTTACCTCTTACGCTCTGTATGGCTAGTGACACTTGTGGAGTAGTTTGCTCTCAGGGACTGTGGGAGCTGGAGTAGCAGGAGCTGTTTTTGTTGTGGGGCTTACTTTTGCAGCATTGTCTTTGGGAAAACGAAACAATTCCAGTGAGTAGCTGTCTTCTTTCTTTCGATAACCATCAATCTTTGAATATGGACTGAAAGTTGGGTAGTGTTGATGGAAGTTTTTTGCATCATTTTCCTGGTTTTGTTGTGTAAGGTCCTGTATTCAATGTATTTAGTTTTCTGCTATGTCTTGAAACATATGTGGCTGTGCTCAGGACCAGAACAAAAAATGGAGCCCTTAACAACACAGCAGGAGATGTCATTGACTTATGATGATCAAAATGATAGAAGCACAGAAGATGTAGATGATCAAAGCAATATGAAACATGATGCTAGTAGTAGTCCAGAAGGAAGGACAGGTACTTTTGAGGATTCTTCTTCATCTACAGAAATTGATGAGTCTCTTAGTGAAATTAGAGTTGGTAATGATAATGATATAAGGGATTTGTCAGTACAAGATTTTAAGAACACATCCAGAGACACTGACGCCATCAATAATGCATCCATTCAAGAAGATTCACCACATGAATCAACTTCTGATGACAAGTTACTAGAACCTGAAACATCCACAAGGCAATTTAATCTGCCTGAACCGGAAAATGGAAATGATTCATTTGTTGCCTATGGGCTTGAGGATGTTGACAGCAGCCTCACTGTAGGTACAGGAGATTTGGCTTCTGTACTTAAAGAGAACCTAGTCAGTGTGGAACCAACCAACTTGCCAGCCTATGATGCTAAATCTTCAAACCTTAGCTTTGAACCCCAGGATGGAATACCTGAGACTAGTGAAGAAAATGAACCTATAGGTCTGGATGTTTCAGTTGCTTTGCAGTCCAACACAATTTTAGAACCTCAGATTTCGTCTGAAGATAGTATAGGGACTGTAGCCTCATCTTCAACCAAAGAAAACCTTGACCTGAGCACATTGCAGGGCTTAGCTGAGGGAATCAGTTCATCCCTGGAAGGG